GGGAAAGAGCCAGGGGTATGGGGAAGAGCAGGCTTCTCTAAATGATCTTGGGCATAGCCAACTCCCATTTCTCTTCCAGTCATTGAGGGAGTTGGACCAAGTGGTCTCCAGAGCCTTGCTGGCACTGAGAGTCTGTGAGACTCTCCAGAGAGCAGACAGGGTAGAGAGGAGATGAGATGTGTCCTGTGTGCATGTGTGCATGCACACACAGATACAGACACAGGTTTGCCTTCCAGGGATCCAAGGAGTGAAGGATTAAGACAAGTCAGCCTGAGCTCAGAAGTATTGGGAGAAGAAGCTGAGCCTGGGTCTCATGGATGGAACCCCCATGGTTCCCCTTCCTTCCCCCTTATTGCTGGGCCCAAAGGCCAGCAGGAGGCGCAGGATCTGAGCCAGTTCTAAGATGATGCTTGATGCCCACAGGCAGGTAGAAGACCTGGGCTCTTGAAGCCACATGGGTTACTGCATCCCAGTGGGGAGAAGAAACCAAGGCAGAGGACTCATTACGCATTCTGGTCCCATCCAAGCTGCCTGACCATGTCTCATAATTCCCAGAGGCAGCACCTGGGTGGGGAACAGGCACCATTTATAGGGCCCCTTCTTGTGAGCTGTTCTTACCCCAAATCTCCTTTCTGGTTCCCAAGACAGCTTTAGCCAGTGAAGGATCTCCCTAAAGCTATCTGTCTCAACCCCAGGTTCCCTGGGCTCTGCCTTCCATCCCTAGTCCTCAGGAGATTTAGCTTTTTTCCCTCGTCCCTTCTTCCCACTCCCAGTCTAGAGAGCGGGGACAGGGATTGGGCTGCAGCCATAGCATCCAGCCTGAAGCCTCCCTCCTCCCTGGTATCAGGTAACCCCTTGTTCCCAGGGCTCTATGGGTAGCTCCAGAGACCTGTCCTAGAGTGGGATGCTGTGAGATGGGAGGGGGCAAAAGGAAGTCAGGGGCCTCCTACCATCATTAGGCCTGATCTTGGTTGTGCTTCCTCCAAGAACCCTATCAAAATGTCCTCTCTTTCCAGGAGCTCAGATTTACCATCCCTCCCTGGGGTGAGAATGTCCAGTGGGTGTTGGTGGAATGGGGCTTCTCTTTCCTCCATCCTCATAACCCCTCCTAGTCCTGTGCCCTTACCTCATCTCTTACAGGTCTTGGAGCAGAATCCACTGCTGTCCACAGAACAGGGTGCTGACCCTGGCAGAGTCCTGCAGGAAAGCAAGCCTCTTCTCTAGGGGCCAGGGCACAGCCCCTCTGCTCTCAGAGTCTACCTTTCTAGGGCACCGCAGCCCTCTTCCTTCTAGAGGCCTTACCAGATTACCTGACCCCCTCATTATGGACATATTGAATTTATCTGACCCCTGTCCATCTCAGCTCTTGGATTCCCCCTCCTCTCAAAACCCTCTCCCGAGTATGGTCCTACTCCCCTCCCCAGACAGTGGTCACTCCTGGGGTTTCTCATAACCCCTCCACTTTCTAGAAATGGTTCTGCCCCTGAAGGAGCAGAGGCCCAGTTCAGTCCTCTCCTCCCCACTTCCCCTGGGGCACAGTCCAAACTGTGGCCAGTGCCCGTCAACTCAAGCTCAATGCTTGAACCCCTGTCTTCCTGAGTGGCCTAGAGAGACTGCCTCTCCGGGTGGATAGGATCTGGCAGGAAGGGTCCTGGGCCTGGAAATACGATGAGAGAGGCCTAGCCTTGGAGTGTGGTGCCACCCAGCAGCCCAGCCTCAGTTGCTCTGGCCTGAGGACACAAGATTCAAACCTTGAGCTACCAGAGCCCAGCAAATCCCACAGGAATCACTGGCCTCTTCTGCCCAGTATCTAACATCTTGGCTGGTTCAACTCTCAAGCTTCAGGTTGGGAAGGCCATGGAGAGAAGCCAGGATGGCAGTGGAGATGAAACGAGGACTCTGGTTCTTCTGAGCATTAAGCAAGTCATATGTGAATCAAGTCACATGTGGAACTACATGCAAATTAGAACCCAGTCTACTTTTGTTACTTGTCTAAGGACCTACGTCCAAATACCTGGCATTTCCTCTCCCCAGTCCCAGCTGTGTGGCTCCTTGGGCATTTGCTTGTGACGTGTTACCCTCCTGCACAATCCCCTGCCTGGCAAGTCCATCCCATCCTGTGACCTGCAGCATTTCACCCGTGCCCTCCTTTCTCTCCAGATCTTGAAGGACAATAGTTCCCAAGTATAGTGCTTGCTCCTCTTTCAGGACACAGGGAGCCCCCTGGTGCCATGGGGCCCAGTGCCTAGGGAGCTCAGCTTCTTCAGGCCTGCATGGATGTTCCAGGGGCCACTCACCCAGGCTCCCTCAGGCCTGGCCTGACCTAGGGATCCTGCTGCTGCTTCCATTGCCTCTCAGCCTGGGCCAAGTGCTCAGAGAGACCCTGCAGGATCTTCTTGCGTCTGTTCAATGTCTCCTCCAGGTCAAAGATTCTTTCCCCTGGGGATTGGTGCAGAGCTGGGACAGCCAGACAGCTGGATGTGGCAATGGATCCTATCTATGGGGGCTTTTTGGAGAGGGGGACAGAAGGCATGGCTTCTGCCTCAAAAACTCCCCTGGAAAGATGTGTCTGGGTGGTGGGGTGGGAATAGGAGAGAGCATCTAGGCCCCAGGGACTGCTTAGACATAGCCTCCACCTCCCCGTTGGTTAAAGAACTCCTGGTTGGAAGGGAAGAGTATCCTATGATACCCAAATGGGCCCCTTCTCTACCTGCCTCTCCCTGGGCCCCTACCCTCTTCCTGGTCTTTGGAGTTCAGCTTTGGAATGATGTCTTCCCTGGTGCCCAGGGCCAACCTTGCCTGCAGCCCTTCCGGCTGCTCTGGGTGGTTAGGACCCCTTCTCTGTGCTCCCACAGCCTTCAGCCAGCCTCCAAGGCCCTTAAGGACAAGGCCTGGCTCTAGGTCACTTCTGATCCCAGCACTGCCCAGCACAACGCCTGGCCTGAGCAAAACTCAGAGAGCAGGTAGAGATAATGGTTGGAATAGCAGGTCTGATGGCACCATGACATGAGCAGTGCATCTCGGGAGGAAAGGAGGCCCTGAGCTGCCTCTCCCCCAGCCCTGCCCCCAATGTGGGCCCATGGCTGATATCACCTCTGGACCTTTCAGACTGAGGTCAGATAGGACAAGACCTCATGGTAATCTGGAAAAGGGGATAGAGAAGGGAAGGGAAGATCTTCCATCCCCAGCAGCCCACTCACTTAGTCCTCACCTCCCAGGCTCCATTATATTTCAGGCAGGCAAAAGATCTGTGTGACCTGAGGCAGCTCTGATCCTTGTCTGGCTTATTTCAGAAGAAACGTATGAGGGTCAGACAAGCAGATGGGTGGTCTGTGAGGGTCAACATCCCCCACCAGCCAGAGTTGGGCCCCAGTGAGTAGGAAAATTAGGCAATTCTGGACTAGAGCCGTGGAAGCAGACTGAGCAACACACTAAGGCCCCAGGGAACTACTGACAAAAGCAACCACATGGTGGCTACCTCCTCAATATGACTCTGACCATGTCACTCTCCTCGGAAACCTTTGATGACGCCCCAGTGCCCAGAGTCTAAAAACTGAAGTCTTGGCGTTCACGAACTCCCACTGTCTGATTGCACCAACTATGAGTCCCTCCATGGGCTCTCCATTATATCCTTTGCTCCATTTCCCTAAACATCCCTCATGGCTGTCCCTCTTCCACTTGCCCCACAGCTCCCAGCAAGGACCACTTATGGGGCCAACGCTGGATAAAAGCTTCTTTTGTTTTATTCTATTTGAGACTTTCAACAACTCTGCAAGGCAGGCAGGAGAGGACTTGTGACTTGCCCAGGTCACACAGTGAGGAAGTGGCAGGCAACACATCCAGTGCTCCTTAGAAGGTGTGCTCAGATGGTTCATTAGGCACATTCCTCTGTTTTCACCTGCCAGGGTTCTAGTGGCTGCTGAGACCCCAAAGAAACTTCCAGGAGCCAAAAGCAGGGGCCCCACATCAATGCAGACCAAATCCAGGTCTCTGGGAGTATTCAAGGACACCTGAGGGGCACAGAAGGGGGTGAGCACCTTACAGATGTGCCCCCCTTCTCTTTGCTTGTGGCAGGGAAAATTATCCCCAAATCTGAGTGTCTGGGTCCCATGGCCCCAAAGGAGGGCAGGCAGTCACAGGACTTGGTGTCAGAATGGCATGGAGCGGTTTGCACACCTGGTCTCATTTTAGCTCTCACAGGTATGTGCTTTGGGCCAGCTGGGATTCTGTGTAGGGAGGACGATCCATGTATGTGATGCCCATGTGTTCCAGGGGCCCTGCGTGGTGTCAGGCACAAATCAGTTGAGGCCACGAACAACAGATTACACAGTATCTCTGTATCTCTGAGCCTGTAACCTGCACACCCTGCATGTTTGTAGGACCTGCAAAAGCAAAAGAGGCCGTGTGTGAGTAGGATCGGCTCATGAGCAGGCTCTGCGCCCAGTAGGGGAGCTTGCTTGGAAGGGGTATGGCCAGTTCTGGAAGTTGTGGTAATGAGAGCCCAGCACCCAGCTGGCTCCATCTCTGTGGGGACTTAGAGTCCAGTAGGGCCATCCAGGACCCAAGGACTGGACAGTGGGGGTGGTCCCAGAGGCCATTCTTCCCAGGCCAGCAGTGCCACTTCCCCCACTGGATGACCTGCTGGGACATGTCCCTGTGGTCAAGCTTGAGTCTCCCTTGTATGTCTACTCCTTAGCACAAGAGGGAGAGGCAGGAGAACAAGCCCTGCCGGGCAGAGTACAGGGACTTGGAGTTCACAGAAGAGGTCAAAGTTCTTTCTGGGACTTTCCCAGGAGGACAGAGGCTGGACCCAACGTGGAGTTTTGCACTCAATCCCCCAGACCACCACCTCCTCCCACTGTCCCTCCCTCTTTCCCCTTTCCTTAAACCCCAAGTCCCTCCTTGCCTCTGGGTAGGGCTTCTCTTTCCTGTCCCTCTGCCAGGCTTGGACTGTAGCAGGACAGACAACATGAGATGTCTCCTAATGGACAAGGACAATACGACCAGCTTGCCTGTCCCGCAGGGCTGTGCAGCAGGTTCTGGGGAGTTAGGGGAGGGTGTTGAGCCTGAGAGGCCCTGAGTTTCTCTGTGCACAGACCACAGGTACTGCTCATAGCACAATGCCTGTCATTGCCACCTTCAGAGGAAGGTGACACAGAGCAGGGAGAAGCCAGCTCCAAGCAGCCACCTGCATATGCCTCCTAAGCTGTGACCATGAGCAAGTTACCTCACCTTTCCAAACTCCCACTTCCTCATCTTTAAAAGGAGAATAATAATCGAAACTACCTCATAACATTGTTATGAGGGTTAACTCAGACAATGAACGGTGCTGTGCCTAGCATACAGTAAGCTCTGCTCCATAAATGTCAGCAATTATTCAAATGGTTACGAGCTAAGGGACGTTTGCTGAGAGACACTGGCGAATTGGCCCAGCTGCTGAGGAGGCAGTGAGCTGGAGAGGGCGGGGAAGCACGTCTTCTGGAGAAAGGGAAGGGTGCCGACAGGCCGCTGGCACAGGGAGGAGGGTGTGGACCCTCCATCAACAAGTCTGTCCTCGAATCTCAGGTCAGCACACAGCTGTGTGACCCCAGGCCAGTCGCTTCACCTCCCTGGGCCTCAGTGTGTCCCCCTGTAATTGGGACGAACAGTCCCCACTTCCCAAGAATGTTGTGCATCAGATGAGATGACATGAGAGAAGACTCTCAGCACAGACCTCACCTGCATCATTTCACTATCCCCGCTGATCTGGAGCTGCTGGGTTGAATGAACGAAGGCTTCTCTGGGGTGGTTCCCAGGAAGAACAAGCAAACTCTGCTCCTGGGCCCAGAGGAGGCACAGCTGGGACTGAGTGGGAGGGAGTCCCAGGGAGGCACTACCTTTGAGCTATCAGCTCAGACGAGCAAGGAAAACATAGCCCTAGGAGGGGTGGGCTCCTTGTCAGAGGCTGGGGCAGGGGCACGAGCGGGCAGTGTGGATACAGCCCAGGAATGGGAGTAGGTGTCAGTCCAGACAGGCTTGCAGGGGATGTGCTCTTCACTGGTCAGCACATGGATGGCAGGGCTTTCCATGCGTTGACCAGTGGACACAAGGCGGAGGGTGTAGGTGTGGGCAGGCAGAAGACCATTGCTCACCTGGGTATCTTGGAATGAGGAGTCGAAGAGGATTCCAAGGCCATTCCTCAAGGCAGGCTCCACCAGCGCAGAGCTGACTTGGCCCCCGCTCTTGGCCCCTGGTGTACTACACAGTCCTTGGGTCCCCAGCTGCTCAACTCCCCTGTGGGACACTGGAACCGCAGGCTCACCGCTCACCTCCCTGACTCACCCTCTCTGCTGGGGGCCACTCACCAGGACCTGGGCTCCCTGGTGCCCTGGCCCAGTTACTCTCATCTGCATGTCCGCCTGCCAGCCAGAGAAGAGGACAGGGGCCCTGCTCTACACTGCACCACTTCAGTTCCATATGGATGGGGCCAGCGCACTTCCTCTGGATGGTGTCTGTGGACCAGGGCAAATCAGGGCCTGGGCCCCACCTTCCCTTCCTCCCCATTATTCTCTCTCATTGGCCTGGCTGGGCTCTGGGAGAAGGAAGCAGGTAACATCAAGGCTTGCCATTAAATACCAGGCTGACTGGTCAGACACAGGAATCCACTGAAGAAGTGGGCATTGGAGCCTAGCATAGGGGAGGGCAACGCATGCCACATCATGTAGAGCACTCTGCTTGCCTTCTCACTTGAGCCTCACCACAAGTCTGTTTTTATCAGACCACATTTTACAGATGAGAAAACCAAGGCTCAGAAAAGTTAAGAAATTAAGTGGATTGGAACTCAGCTCCATCTAACTCCAAAATACAAGCTTTTTCCACCAGGAGAGAGCTTTGTGTCTAACCCTTTCTGTTTCTCAGATGAGGAAACTAAGGCCCTATGAGGGAAAGGACATGTCTGAGACCATAGAACATAGGAGAGCACTTTGAGAGAATTAACCATGTGGAGGACTCCAGTGTTCCCAATGAGACTGGGGGTGGGGGGTGGGGGGGGAGGTTCCTGGTGGGGGAGTTTAAGGGAAAGACATAGAAGGTGAGGAAAGCATGAAAGCAAAGGTAGAATTAGCCTGCAAGATTGAGAAGGAAGGGGGAAGGATGGAGTGTATGTATGTGAGAATTATCATTGGTGGAGGTGAAGAGGACGAAGGAGCCCTATTTTGTAAAACAGAAGAAAGTGGAGAGAAACTGAGACAGGATTGGCTGGAACCAGGGAAAGGGAGGTCAGAGACCCTACCCCAGTTGGCTCCCCACCCCTCCATCCTGCTAGACTGGAACCTGGCCCAGGTCTCAGTCCCTGCCAGGACTTTCTAGAGATGCTATTCTAGCCTCTTAGCTTGGCAAAGGCCAGGGCAGGGGACAGGGAAGCTCAGAGGCTGCAAGGCCAGAAATCCTGGGGGCCCTTGGAAGCCACCACTGCCTCTGAAGTGACTTGCAGGAGGCAAGGATTGCTCACTGTCTACTACACTCATGCCTTGCACCGTATGTAGATTGTTCATGGAACTGTGAGCTCCTTGTGTCTGATACAGCCCTTTGTCTTGGAGCTGGGCACAGAGGGACACGGGGAGGGAGTCCAATAAAAAGATCAACGAATGAATAAATGGACAATGAGCATCCCTGGGTAATTTGCTCTTCCACATGGTCTGTGGCGCCCCAAACTTATCAAGGCCACCGCGGTAAATGTGGCACAGGCCCTGCCACCTGGCGCTGAGGCAGAGCCTGGCTGATGCTGTGAGAAACAGCCACCCCTTTGTTTGCCCCTTGGTGCCTCTGCGAGCAGGATGGGGCCAAGACCCCAAGATAGGAACTGTCATTTTTTTTTTAATATATTTTATTGAGTTTTTACAGAGAAGAAAGGAGAGAGATAGTTAGAAACATCGATGAGAGAGAAACATCGACCAGTTGCCTCCTGCACACTCCGCACTGGGGATGTGCCCACAACCCAGGTACATGCCCTTGACCGGAATCGAACCTGGGACCTTTCAGTCCATAGGCCGATGCTCTATCCACTGAGCCAAACCGGTTTCGGCAGGAACTGTCATCTTAAAGGGACATTTGTTCTGGTCTCGGGAATAGTGTCGTTTTTCAGAACTTAGATCTCATAGACACAGAAATACACAATGGATCTTCTTCTGTTTGCTTTGCCTGCTAGGAAGCTCTGAACCAGATTCATGGCCCAACTCTGAAGGGTATGCAGATCTTGGTATAACCTGGGCAGACCTATGTTTTGGTAACAAGCCATCTTCCTGAACTCATTTTATGTCTCAACCCTAATCACAAGCCTCATTCTTCTTGCTCACTCCTAGTTAAAACTCCTGTCTATTGCATAGGTCCTTGTCAGTCCTCAAAAATCTTATTGAACGTTAGGTAGAAGACAGATTTTTTGTAGTTCCGGGTTTGGAAGGCCCTGAACACAGACCTGTGGGTGAGATGTTCTCATACATGCCTCACCCAGCACACATGCAGGGTAGAGCTGGTGTCTCTGGCAAACCAGCCAGCCATGAAGAGCCCTCTTCCAGGCAGCCCCCTGGTTCTCCGGGACGGCCATAGGCCCAGCAGTGCGGAGCTAGGAGAGTAGAGGTTTGTGCTGATCCAAGTTGCCTTGTGTCTCTGTGTCTGGGACTCGGCATGTGAGCATGTGTGTGTGTGTTCATGGGATCAAGAGGGAGGGTTTAGGGGTGTGGAGGGTCATCAAAGAAAAGGCAGAAGGAGAGAGAAACCCTAAGGCACAGAAGGAAAGAGGCAGAGAGGAGAAACTGAGGCTGTGGATAGGGTTTGATGTAGTGGGTGGAACAGGAGACGAGTCTGGGAAGGGTCTGGGGTCCCTGGCACCGCCTGCCCCAGGCCTGGACTCATCTTGGGCAGAGGCTGGTATTGGCAGACCCACTCCTCACCAAGTCACAGCCACCCCTAGAGGTCAGCTGCTTCAGCGTGCTGAGGAATCCTGAGCATGGCTGGTCCCCATCCCATCCTTCACTCCATGAGGGCTCCAGAATGGTAAGCCAGCCACAGACAATGCTAGCCTTTGAAGCTGAGATTGTACTCAAACTTTCACTGAGGAGGATGGTACCCCTCAGGGCTGTGGGGGGTCAGGGGCAGGAGGAAGAGAAGGCAGAACAAGGGATCAGGGCCACTGACCACAGGTACTGTAAAAAGATCTGGTGTCACCAAACCAGTTTGGCTCAGTGGATAGAGCATCAGCCTGCAGACTGAAGGGTCCTGGGTTCGATTCCGGTCAAGGGCATGTACCTGGGTTGTGGGCACATCCCCAGTAGGAGGTGTGCAGGAGGCAGCTGGTCGATATTTCTCTATCATCGATGTTTCTAACTCTCTATCCCTTTCCCTTCCTCTCTGTAAAAAAATCAATAAAATATATTTTAGAAAAAAGAAAAGAAAGAAAACTCAAAAAAAAAAAAAAAAAGATCTGGTGTCTGGGCCCAGGGTGGGTCCCTACCTGGGAGGCCACGGAGGGGACCCAGGGGTGGGCAGGTGGGAAGGAGCTGGGTACTGGCTGTTGGTACTCCACTCTCCCTCCCTCCCCACGGACATTCTGTTCCTTCTGGGCCTGATCTCAGGCCCTGGCCCTCCCTCACTTGGCCGGCCTGAGCTCTGCCCCTGCTCCTAGATCAGGCCATCTTCCCACCTTCCCTCAGCTCCCCCATCTGAGGGACCTCAGAGATCACAGGGACAAGCTCACCCTTCAGTAGCCCTGGTCTCTCCTCTTTGCTCAGGAAGGGCCTCCACATGCTGCCTGCTGTCTCTGTCCTGCAGGTGGATGTCCTGACTGTGGCCAGCATCCACCCCATCCTTCCCTGTCCTGCTCTCTTCATTGTCATGCTCAGCTCTCTACCAGATTCCCAAAGGCTCATGCCTCCAAGCAGCCTGGTTTTCTCAACAAATAAACTACATGAAAATAGAAAGAGACAAACAAATGCAATATGTAAACCTTGTTTGAAGCCTAATTTTAACCAACTAAAGGGGGGTGGAGGAGTGAATGAGACAATTGGGGAGATTTGGACGATGGATATTGGATTAAATTAAGAAATTATTGTTAAATATTTTGAAGTAAGAATATTGTTGTTATATTTTTAAAATGTCTTTCTTTTGGAGAAATGTACCAAAGCTTTCTGAAGGAATCAATATAGTGTCTAGGATCTGCTTCCAAATACCCCAGACCATGGGTGTGTGGATGGCACAGCATGTGACCTTGAATCGATAACTCTTCAGGTTGGATGGTAGGTTCATTATATTCTTCCCTTGACTTTTCTGTTTGATAATTTCCATAATAAGCACATTTAAAAAAGTAAGTAATCTTGTACGTCAAGTATTTTTATCCAGATAAATGTTGGTTTTCCAGAGTGGCTCTTTTCCCGAGAATTCTGGATAGCTGAGGTTTACTATAGTTTGTAAGTTCTTGGTAGGATTCAGTTACTGAAGCTCTGAGCTTAATTAAAATCAAGGCTGTAAATGGAAAAATGTAGGACATGCTAAAAGCCATACTTCAATCCTCAGCCACCTTCACTCGCTTTCTCCTGCACCTTCGCAGCCAGGCTGTGGAAAGCTTGGGCCCCACCCAGGTCCTGCTTCTTCACCTCCCAGCTGATCTTCCCAGCTGCTGCCCCTACTGCCCATTGGGTAAAAACTGATCCAGCAAGGCCTGGCAGTGGGCCCTGTTCTCTGTGCCTAGCGGATACTTCTGAACCCAGTCTCTGCAATGTGAAATGCTATGGATATCCGTCTCCCACGCCCACCCCTCCCAAAGCTCCCTGCTGCCCCCCAGCTTCCTGGCTGCCCCGGAGCTCCTTTGCCACTGCTCTGCCTCCTCAGCCCTTCCATTGGGCATCTCTCCTCACTCACCACATGCTCCCTGGCAAGCTTGTCCATGCCCATGGTTTCAAGCACTACAGCTGTGCCATGATCCTCAAATCTCCACTTTCAGCTCATCTTCTCCTGGAGCCTCAGGCCGAATAAATGTCCAACTCTGCAGGGGACAACTCTGCTTGGATGCCCCCAGACCTCCAGGTGACATGTCCAAACCAAACTCCTCTTCTCCACCCCTCAGCCCATCCTCTTCTGTGGCTGGGGTCTCATGGGTGGCACTCTCATCTTATGGAGCCAGAGACTGGAACCCCGCAGATCCCTTCTGCTTCCTCCTCTCATCACCCATCAGCAAGCTCTTCCCCCTCTCATCACCCATCAGCAAGCTCTTCCCCTCTCCCACTACTGTTCCCGAGTCTCTCCAAGCCTCGGTTCCTTACTTGTAAAATGAATAATAGTATCTCCAAGAGTTGTTCGGAGGGTTACATGAGGTAATACACCTACCTATTGTGCTTAGAACAGGGCCTGACAGACAGCTGTGTTCCTCTTCCTCTCCACCTCCTACTGGCTCCCCCAGCCCAGGACACCACCAATCACCTGCCTGGCTGACTGCAACCTCCCCACTTGTCTCCCTGTCTCCACTTGGTACATAACCCCCAAGGCCAGATGGTAGTCAGAAGGATATTTCTAAAATACAGATCTGACCATGTCATTCCTCTGTCCTAAACCCTTTATTGCTCCTGGTCATCTCTGCATGAAGCTAAACTCCTTGTGGGGCCTGCAAAACCAGGTGGGTCTGGGCCATTTTCTCTTCAGCCTTACTTGCTCCCAAACCACACCCCTGGCACCTCTGCCCCAGCCACACTTAAGCACCTCACCACCTTTGCTAGGCAATGCCGTCTTTACCAGACACTTGCTCTGTCCCTGCTTGTCCTCCAAGTGTCTGAGAAGCTGCTCCCCACCTCCCCCTCCCCCTGTCTCACGGGCTTGTTGTGGGTTGTTGGAAACCCCTACCAGATTCTGGGCACTGAGTCTTGAGTGGGGTCTCCACCTGTCCTTGAGCTCCTGGAGGGAGCAGCGTCTTGCTCATCTGTGAGCCAGTGGCCAGCACAGAGCAGAGGGTGAAGGGGGAAAACAAAAAACTATAAACCAAGTGAGAGAAAGGGGAGACTAAAGGAAGCTCACATGCCAACAGGTAGAAAGAATAGGAACATCCAGCTGCCTGGGCCTGCATTCCCTCAGGGCCCCATCAGCTGGACCCTTTCTCTTACTCCCAATTGCGTTGTTGGATGCCTGCCTGGCCCCTCTCACGACTGGCACCATTTCATTTCTGAACCAAGCCAGGTTGGAGCAGCTAGTGAGAACCCATTGTCAAAATCCCCTAGCCCAGTGATGGCGAACCTATGACACTCGTGTCAGAGGTGACACGAGAACTCATTTTTTTGGTTGATTTTTCTTTGTTAAATGGCATTTAAATATATAAAATAAATATCAAAAATGTAAATCTTTGTTTTACTATGGTTGCAAATATAAAAAAATTTCTATGCGACACAGCACCACAGTTAAGTTAGGGTTTTTCAAAATGCTGACACGCCGAGCTCAAAAGGTTTGCCATCACTGCCCTAGACCACAGTACCAACGACTATAAACCACAATTCCTCACCCACTCTTGCCCCAGCTTTGTGACTCCCTCTCCAGGACAGTCCCTCTCCCCTGGCAGGCCCATTCCACTCACCCCTTCCATCACTACATGTTTCTTTCATATAGCACTTACCAGTTCTGTAATTAACTTTTTTTTTTTGCTGTTAATCCTCACCTGAGGATACTTTTCTCATTGATTTTTAGAGAGTGGGAGGAGGTAGGAGAGAAATATAGAGAAAGAAACATCAATGTGAGAGACACATTGACTGGTTGGTGTCTGTACATGCCCTGACCAGGTCAGGATCGAATCTACAACCCAGGTACATGCCCTTACCCATGAACAGAACCCACACCCTTTGGTGTATGGGCTGATGCTCTAACCACTGAGCACACTGACCAGAGCTGTAGTTAACTGTCTTTGTGATTGTTTTCCTAACTGAACTCCACAGGGTATTAGCTCACTACTGAACTCCAGTTCTAGCACACAGCAGGTTTTCAAATATTTGTGGTTGAATGGTCTAGTTTCAGAAAAATGAGAGGCTAGACTGGGGGAGGCAAGGAGGCTGCTTTGCTGGGCCGGGGGCTGGGGTGGGAGATGATGTTGGCTGGATGGCAGTGCAGGCACAGGCACATTGCAGTCACCTGCCTGGAGCCCTGGCGGGCGTGGCTCAGTTGGTTGGAGCGTAGTAACTACCCTGCACCAGAAGGCGGCAGGTTCCATTCCTGTCAGAGGTTTGGGGTTTGATTTCTGGTCAGGGGGCCCTTACTGGAGGCAGCTGATCCATGTTTCTCTCTTTCACATTGATGTTTCTCTCCCCCTCTCTGTCCCTCTTCCCCTCTCCCAAATATATTTTAGAAAAAGAAAAAAGAACTGCCTGAATTTAGGCCCTGCTGACTGGAGCAGGAAGGGTCAGAACCCCAACTGGACAAGGAGACCCCCAGCTTCCTGACTCAGTGAATGAAGTGAGCCTCCCCCTGGCTCTCAGTGGTTCTGTGCTATTGCCCTGGGAACAATAGCCAGCACAGAACTATGTGGCTAGTCCTCATTCCCCATCTGTGTCCCCTGGAGCTGCTCACATTTGCATACTCAGGCCTGGGGCTGGGCAGTGCTTACATCTCAGGTGAACTGTGAGAACCACCAGCAGCTCAGAGCCTCCCTCCCCTCTCCCTCCAGGTCAACATCTCCTCTGAGGTATTTACTTTGCCTCCTACCAGGGGGACCCCATCTGTATCTGGTCAGGCTGGCACCTCCCCATTTACACCCCCTCCCCCCAAGCTTGGTTCCAGCCCTCCTTGTGCTGATGGCTTGAACAACACAGCAGGAGAGGCAGCCAGGACCCCAGGCATTACCCCGAGGACAGGGCTCCAGAGCCCAGATGGTCCCAGGGCCAAGCCTGGGGCTATAGCAGAATGTAGGGGAGGGCAGTAGTGAGAGCTCCCACAGCAGACACAGGACACTCATGGGTGCAGCTTACACAAAGCGGTGGCCACCTCTTCCGGCCGTGCTCCCCACCCACTCCACTCACAGGGCAAGCACAGCCCCACTCACAGAGACAGGGGGATGGACAAGATGGCATGGGGATAGGAGATGGGGGCAGGCAGGCTGAGGGAGTAAGCGCCGAGGCTGGGCAGTGGTGTCCTCATGGAGTGGTTTATTACAATTCTATCTCACAAGGCAGGCGGCAGCAGCACACACAAGCTCCAAGCCCCTGACAGACGTCCGCCTCGGGCGCATGCAAACAGTGCAACATGGTCAAGCGCAAACACAGGGCGACCGAGGCGACACAGAACACAGAACACGGAACGGGGAACAAGGCTGGGGCGATGGGTCCCTGGAGATGGGCCTGGTTTCCCCAACCCTGGGCAGGACAGGAAAAATAAGATTCGTACTTCTTGTAAAATGCCCATTTCCTGGGTACTTTCTTTCTTCTTATCGTGAAAAATAATAAAAAATAAGCACATGGAAAAGAACCTTAAAAAAGGAAAGGAATAAAACTCCAGGAAGGTGAGAGATGGGAGGCCAGGGAAGCCTGACCATGGTGGGGCATCTGCCTCCTGCTCCTCACCCTCCTCTCTTCTTGGCCTTCAGCGGGACTCCCCAAATCCCACAGGCGGGTCCGTGAGAGGTGCCGGGCCTAGGCGGGGTCCCTGAGGGGCCGGGGGGCACAGGCTGGGGCAGAGGAAAGAGGTCCACGGGGCTCAGTTCCGGTTAGGCCCAGTGAGTAGGGGCACGAGGTCCAGTCTCTCAGGTCGAGTCCCCAGAGGCCCATGACCTGTGCGAGCCCAGACGTCACAGGTGCAGCTCGTGGGTTTTGATGTGCTCGAGCTGCTCTCGGAGCTGCAGGAAGGAGGGCCGTGTGGCGGCGTCCAGCTGCCAGCAGTTCTTCATCACCTCGTAGACTGCAGGTGGGCAGCCGTCAGGGGCATCCATCTTGTAGCCCTTCTCTACCCGAGGGACGACGTCCTTCAGGGGCTGAGGGCAGATGGGTGGCATGAATCTGTGCAGGGCCTAACCCTTGGAGGGGATCCCTACTCAGCATCCCGCTTCAGGGGTCCCCTTTAGCTCTGCCTCACACCCAGGCCCAGGAAGTGGCCTGGAAGGTCCTGAGGGCAAGCTTCTAGGCCTCAGACTAGGGAAGCAGGGCCCAGGGAGGCCCCACACCGGGCCTACCCCTCCCATAGCCCCAGCCAGGTCCCACCCCAGTGCCCACACTCACAATTCTTGGATAAGGCACTCGCCCAAAGGAGTAGATTTCCCAGAGAAGGATTCCGAAACTCCACACGTCAGACTTGGTGGAGAATTTCTGCCATGTGGATGGGAAAAGCTGTGTCAGACCCTGGAAATTTGGGGGTAGGGTGACCCAGAACCCGTCCCCAATGCTCAGGATATAGCGGGAGGCCCACCCACCTTCTCTCTCAGGGCTTCGGGGGCTGTCCACTTGACTGGCAGCTTGCCTGTGTCCTGGGTGCTGGAGGCCTCCTTGGTGAGGCCAAAGTCGCTGACCTTGGCCACGTTGTCCTCAGACACCAGCACATTTCGGGCAGCCAGGTCCCGGTGCACAAAGTTGTTGCCTTCCAGGTATTCCATAGCCTCGCAAACATCTCTGGGGGCGAGGCAGCCACAAGTCCCCTCAGATAGGCTTCCCATACCAGAGTAGGGCCCCTCCCCCAGGGGCTGCTTCACTCACAGTGAGAACTTGAGGAGACAGTCTCCGCCCAGCACCGACCGACCCCGTGACCGAAGATAGTCCACCAGGCTCCCCTGGGGCAGGAGAGACAGACCATGGCCCACAGGTTAGACTTGCCCTCTAGCCCTTGGGAACAGTGGACTGGAGGCTGGGTAAAGGGTGACACCCAAGGAAGGGGTTAGGAAAGGAGAGGAACATGGAGGAGGTGACATGAATATTAGGCTCTACAGTTGGACACTGCTGAGCATTCTCTTTTAATTCTCATCACTCTCTGAGGTAAACTTTGTTAGTATCTCCATTTCACAGGTGAGAAAACGGAGTTTAGAGGCAATACAATTTGTCCAACATCGAAGTGAACAATGATGAGCCAGGAAAAAAGCTGAGCTCTGGGGACTTCAGAACTCAATTGGAAAGAGGGGCCAATGATAGAGTGGGGGCCTGAGGCAGTTGGAAAGCCCAGCACAGGGGTGACTCTTGGGGCTGGTGCACACCTTGGCCATGTACTCGGTGACGATGTAGAGTCCACCCTTCTCTTCCACAATCACGCCCAAAAGCTGTACCAGGTTGCTATGCCGAAGTTGCCTGGGGCAGGATGAAGTGATCAGAGTCTGCCGAGCCATCTCATCCCTACCCCTCATCGCAACCTTCCTATACACCCCCTACCCAACTCACGTCATGACCGAGGCTTCAGCCAGGAAGGCCTGGGCAGTGGCATCGTTCTTAATGCATTTGACAGCGACTTTGTTCCCTCGGTAATCGCCCAGCATCACATCTGTGTGGAGAGTGTTTGGTGTTATTCCCAGACTCCCCACAGTCCCTCGGCCCCTCGAAGGGCTCCCAACTCCTCTTGTTCACCTCCAAACTCCCCCTTCCCAATGGTCTGCAGCAGCTTCAGGTCCTTCATATTCAGCGCCCAGCCACCTGGTAGAAGGAAAGGGGTCCAGTGAGGGGTGATGAGACTGGAGCAGAGTTCACAGCAGGAGAGACAGAGGCCGACTATAGTGTGTGGGGTTCCCTGGAAGTCTCCAGAGCATCTGGGATGGGAAGTGCCAAGAAGCCTGGGCAGCAGGAGGCAAGTAGGCAAGCGAGACTGGGTACGGGGGTGGCACTCACTGCGGAAGAACTCATCCTGGGCTGCCACTGTGCCCTCCATGACCTTTGGCTTGATGAGCCGAGTGCAGAGTCCATCTGCATCTGAGGTATAGTGCTGCAGGGTACAGGACAGGCCATCATCAGCTGCTCACATGCACTGCCCTGATCTGACCACCAGAGGGCGGCAGAGGCTCATACCAACCAGCCCCACGTTGCTTTGGTTGGGGAGGGCCCTCTATTTCTGGCAGGGCTTGGGGTTAGGGAGGCCCCAGACTGACAAATAACCCACTGGCCATGCTACCTCACACCCAGTTGCTGGACAGATCCCCCACTTTTGCTACCACTCTGGTCCTCGCCAGCATTCCCTGACTCAGTCCAGACACCAGTCTGTAGCCAGGCATGCCCAGGACTCTTCCCTGCCAGAGGCCTAGCCAGACAGGCAGGGGGACAAACTGAGAGTGAATTCTGGAGGCATCTGGGAGGCTGCCTGGAGCTACAGGGACACGTGGGCATATCCTTGAAGGTGCATGAGTCCAGGGGACCCTGGCCATTAAGGTGTAGCTCATGAGGTCATGCTTATATACACACCTTGGACATGTAGTTCTGTAAGTGGCTGGAAGGAAACTAGTTCCAGGACTCAAATCCTGACACCTCCAATTAATAGTTATGTAACTTCAGGCAAGTATCTTAACTGCTCTGAACCTGGCCAATGAAATGGGGATAGTGCCCTGGCTGGTGTGGCTTAGTTGGTTGAGCGTCATCCCATGCACCAAAAGGTTGCTGGTTTGATTTCTGGTCAGGGCACATGCCCAGGTTGTGGCTCGATCTCCGTTAAGGGGCGTGTAGGAGGCAGCCGATCGGTGTTCTGTTCTCACATCAATGCTTCTCTTTCTCTCTCCCTCTCCCTTCCTCTCTCTCTAAAAATAAATAAAAATATTCTTAAAAACACACAAAACTAGTACTTAAGAAAAAAGAAATGGGGCCCTGGCCAATTTTCTCAGTAGTTAGAGTATCAGCCTGAGGACTAAAGGGTCTCAGGTTCAATTCCCAGCCAAGTGCACATACCTCGGCTGCAGGTTCAATTCCTGGCCCAGGTGGGGTACATGAGGCAGGCAACCAGTCGATGTGTCTCTCTCATATCAATGTTTCTCTCTTTCTCTCCCCGTCCTGCCTCCCTTACATTTTCTCTCTAAAGATCAATGGAAAAATTATCCTCAGGTGAGGATTAAGAAAAAAAAGTAAGAAAAAGAAATGGGGATAATGCTACCCTCCCTGTGGTGGCATTGTGGGATCAGAGATCTACCCTGACACATAGTAAGTGCCATCCAGTCTGCATGACAGTCCCGAGGTCACAAAGCCAGAAGCAGTGGGACTGGCGCCAACATCCAGGCCTGTGGGTGCTGCAGCTCACCTCCACCAGCTGCATGAGGTTCTCGAAGTACACCTCCTCATCAATGCTGAGCTTGCTAGCGTGGTACATGATACGGTAGTGCTCCACCTTGCCATCACAGCTCACGCACAGCGTGTAGTCACCAGGGTAGTTGGTGCTCTCCCGAACTAGGAACAGGCCCGTCTCTGGTGGGCAGAGAAGCCGTTCTGCCTGCTCCCGTGTGATCTTGCCATGGAACCAACTGGGGGACGACAGGACAGGGGTCATGGTGGCCCAAGGGTAAGGAGCCTGGTGCCCCTGCCAGTCTCCTCCTGCATCTGCCAGGCTCCACTTTCTGAAGGTCCTCCCTCTGTCCTAGACCCATCCTCCCGCTTTGAGGTCCAGCACCCACGCCCTTCCCCTTATCTTGAGATGCCCTCAGGACATTTCAGCCCCTTCCTCTGGTCTCCCAGTTTTTCTGACTCTTTCTTGGGGAACCAGGGTTCCTCATCCTCCCTCCTCCCCAGACTGGGAGAGGATCCCCCAGGTACTCACGGCATGAGGCTAAGTTTGGTGCCGACCTTCACGCCCTCCCGCTTTTGGACATAGTTGGCTGGAATGATGCCCTCACGGCCCACCTTGTTCTTGGCTTTGTACCAGTTGGGGTCCTGGGGGAAGGGCAGCCCAAACATGCTCTCAGGCCCACCCTCCTCTGCAGGGAACCAGGACCCAGAGGGAATGCCCAGAGGTCGGAGAGGGTGGGGGTAGACATGTGAGGTCCCTGATTACCTTGGTGACGGCCACAATGGTGAGCACATCTCCCTTACAGAAGGGAAGGTCCTGCTCAGCAGTGCCATGGAAGTTGTACTTGGCAATACATTCTGTACCAGATGGCCAGGCGGCCTGCAGGACAGGCAACAAATGGGCAGGTGCAGCCTGGGGCCCCTCTCCACCCACCTGCCCGCAAACCCTCGAAGTCATAGCTCTTGCGGGCCACAAGAACTTTGGGTTCCTTCCAGTTGATATTCTCCACTGACTGAGACCTGAGGGCCCTGTGACAGTGGACCCTAGAATTCTGCTTTGTTGAAAGCCAGGGTTAGGACAGAGGGCTGGGGAAAAGGGGAATGAATTGATCTGAGTCCTTTTTTTCTGCTTAGCATCCCCATGGGGGATGGGGATGCTCAACTGCCCTAGGCCCCGCCTCCATGGTACCTGTATTGCTGACATCTTCTCAGATCTGGCGTCCCGGTGTCACAGGAAGGCCAACCTGTCCCTTGGTACCATGAGAGCTGTGGGGAGAAAAGGAAGATTGAGAAGTATGAGAATATGCCCCCCCCCCGCCCCCCGCCTAAGTCACTAAGATCCCACTCCTTTCCCATAGCAATATAAACAGGTGCCAAAGCCAGCCAGAGCTGGCACTGGGAGTGAGGGGGCCACCAATCCTAGGCCCATGGTGGGCCTCACAGACTGACAGAATAGCCAACAGAGGCAAAGGAGGTTCGGGGGCTGAGTAGCACCAGTGCCACCTGCCCCAGCAGCCCCAAGCCCGATGCTAGCTAACTGGTTGGCAGGGGAAGAGGGCCTAGGGAAGTTCTATGAACCTGGGGAAGGTGCCATCTGACTTGGAAAGTCACCTGTCCTCTGTGGGCCTCCTAGTTTCTGTGTCTATAAAAACTTGCCCAGGTAGTATCTTTAAGCCAAGGTACACTGACCCTATAGCTTGGTAATCCCACTTCAGGGTGCACACCCAACAGAAAACAGGGCAGGTGTCCACTGAAGCAGGCACAGGGTACTCACTGCAGCACGATTTGTAATAAGCCTCAAAATGGGCAGCTGCCCAGATGCCTCCGAAAAGTCAGATGGATAAACTGTGGTATACCCACGAAATATAACACTGTGCTGTGATGAGCATCGATAAGCTACAGCTATGAAACAACATGAATAAGCCTCTAAACATAGTGTTAACCCATGGTGCAGGACAGTGACTGCCATGGGAAGAGGCAGTGACAGGAAGGGGCTTCTGGATGCTGGTTGTGCAACTGCCTGAGCCCAGATGGGGTGGGTTCACTCTGTGGCAATTCACCGTGTTGGACCTGCCATAAACCTTGCAGGGTGCAGGGGCTTCAGATGGCAATGGGAGGAACCAGGGTTTACTTTTGGGGGTCATGGGGCCTCAGCAGCAGAGCATGTGATCTCAGCACTTCCCTAAAGAGCCAGGGAGGCAGAACCAGGAGAACCACCCCACTTCCAGGCCTCACTCCTGGTTCTAGAGCAGTGGTTCTCAACCTTCCTAATGCCGCGACCCTTTAATACAGTTCCTCATGTTGTGGTGACCCCAACCATAAAATTATTTTTGTTGCTACTTCATAACTGTAACTTTGCTACTGTTATGAATCATAATGTAAATATCTGATATGCAGGATGTATTTTCATTGTTACAAATTGAACATAATTAAAGCATAGTGATTAATCACAAAAACAATATGTAATTATATATGTGTTTTCCGATGGTCTTAGGCGACCCCTGTGAAAGGGTCGTTCGACCCCCAAAGGGGTCGCGACCCGCAGGTTGAGAACCGCTGTTCTAGAGTCAGGCAGACCTGTCACTATCAAGTGTGCAACTGGGGTGAATGACTCAACCCTCTGAGCCTCAGATCCCTCACTCTGAAAGGTAGGGACTGGGATCCCATGCAAGCAGGCTGGGGGAGGAGTAGAATGAGGCCCTCGACTTGGAAGTGTCTGGCAGAAAGACCCCACCTCTCTCCCCTTCCCCAAAGGTCAGCCTACCAACCTGTGCTGACAGGAGAATGACCCATGCGTGCGCCCCCCACCCCCACCCCCATTCATACAACTGAGCTGCCTGGGGTATAGAAACCACCCCTGGGCTCTTGTGGTCCACATATTGTGGGAGCTGTGAGCTTCTTACCTCCATTTTATGGAAGCAAAAACAAAGGCTCACAAGGTTGAAAACAACTTGCCTGAAGTCACACAGCCCAGACCTTGAATTGGAGCCCCCAACCTCAGGGCCTTCTAAATAGGGGCTCTGCTTACTCTCCAAATCCCACACCTCCCTCTGCCCCCAAAACAAGCCACTGCAGGAGGGCTTAGAGGCTGTGGCATCATTAGTCACCCTCTCAGCTGTCAGTTTGCAAACACTCCTTTCCCAGCCTGCAGCTGCTGCCGCCTCCCCACTGACTTGATGATAATAAAAATAGTAACAGGCCCTGTTTTCTGAGCACTTATTCTGTGCCAGACCTTGTCTTTGGCATGCTACGGCTTGTCAAGTCCTCTAGCAACTGAGAGAGGCTACCCCATTTTATAGATAGAGACCCCAAGTGAGGCCAACAGGCAAAGTGGCTTTGCCTGAGGTCACCATCTCTCCCCACTGACACTTGAGTGCTCAGGTGTCACCCACATCTGTGCCTCCCTTGCCGCCCATGCCAGGACCCCACTGGTCTAGGAGAGACCGTAAAGGAGGAGAAGCAAGTGATGCTCAGAGAAGGGACAAGCCCAGGAAGCAGTAATCTGGGTGGCCTTCCTTGAGGGGCTGGGCTTGGAGAGGAAGAGCCAAGTTCTTCCCTTTGCTCTCCTGGCTGCAACCTGACCACCCAGTGCTCCCGTCAGTACAAAGGGTTGGCGATAACCCCGCAGCTCCAGCGCTGCTCTGGGACTTGCCAGCTCTCCAGTGCCTCAGCCTCACCTGCTTTCTACCTGCTGTTCCCATGTCCTGCCTTGGCATTTTCTTCCCACTCCCTCCCCCCAAGGAAATTCCACTCAACTTTCAGGGAGCAGAGGAAATGCTTCGGTTGGATATGTGCCTAAAAAATGTAGTAGGACAGGCCACACAGTACCGTTTGTAGTAGCAAGAGACTGGGAGACAATCTTTTTATGTCCATTAATAAGGGGGCAGGTAAATAAATGACCAGGTATCCCTAAAAGGGAACAACATATTTCAGCTAATGGGGCCAGAACAGATCTGTAGCTGCTGATACACAACACTCTTCATGACAGAGTAAATAGAAAGGGCAAAAGCCAGCCCAAGTTATTAAAGGAAAAGCTGCTAGACACAGCTTCCAAATACCAGCCCACCGATTAATCAGAAGATAAAAAAGCCCCTTCACAATAGGGAAATCTGGCAGATGTCTTGCTAACCAAATGGTCAAATTAAGCATCACCAATAATAAGAGAAGCGAAGAGTGCCTCCTGCTATGATGCTGAGAAGGACACAGATTCTGTTGTAGTATCTGCAGAGCTGTTGAACCTGATTCACTCAGGAGGATGCTATCAGATGGAGCCCAAATAATTGGCCTGGACTTTTTTTTTCTTAAATGTATTTTTATTGATTTCAGAGAAGAAGGGAGAGGAGGAGAGGGAGAGAAATATCAATGATGAGAGAGAATCATTAATCAGCCGCCTCCTGCATGTCCCCTACTGGGGATCAAGCCCACATCCGGGGCATGTGTCCTGACCGGGAACTGAACCATGACTTCCTGGTTCATGGATCAACTCTCAACCACTGAGCCACACTGGTCAGGACTGGCCTGAACTCTTAAAGTCAATGTCATAAAAGACAAAACAAACAAACAAAGGCTGGGGAAAGTTCTAAGACAGGAAAGGAGCAGGATACAACAACAAAATGATAATTATGTGAGGTGAAGGATGTGTTAACTAATCATATTGTGGTAACTTTTTGCAATATATACTAGTATCCAATCATTACATTGTACACCTTAAACTTACAATGTTACATGTCAATAAAGCTGGGGGGGGGGGAAGAAAGGTGACAATATTCAATGAGTTATTCTGAATGAGATTCTGAGATAGAGGTAAGAAATAGCTATAGAAATCATTACGGGACAATTGGGAACTCTTAGGGGAAAAGCGGGGGGCTGACTCATGTCCCCAGCATGGACTGGGCCCAGGGTGCTGAATGAATGAACCAACAAAAGAAAGGGGGAAGCTAGGATGGCTGTACCACACTGAGGTCCCATAACCAACAGGACTATATTTAACCCTAAAGGACAGCAGCTGTCACCCCACCCCCATAGGACTAGGGGACAGGGAACTTTGTAACTTTGTTAAGTCAATGCTTCACTCTGACTTCCTGCCCCAAACTCTGCTCCTAGCAGTACTTGTGCTGGGGTCCTGGGAACAGGCTGGGCATTGTGCCCAAATACTGAGGTCAGTGGCCACAGCCTCAGGCAGGCCTTTCTTGGGAGCCCAGGCTGGTGGGGGCGGGAGCCCAGAAATTCCTGGGCTGCCATTTCCCTGCCCTGGGGGCAGTTTTAGACCCCAACAGCCAAGCACATGCTGAGAACCCTGGGAGGTCAAGGGGCTCCTGCCCTGCCCCCCTTACCAAAACTCCACTGCCTAATGGGGTATGGGAGCCTTCAGTAACTGTTTATACCCAGCTAAAAATACCCACTGAAAGGGGAAGTGCACAAGAGACCTAGGGGAACTTGGGGCCATGCCCCCAGAGACTCTGATCTGCCACAGGACCCAGCTAGAGTCTGGGTGTGGGGCACGGGCAGCCACTGGAGGCAACAGACAAGTCCACCTTGCCTTCTCATTCTTTGAGTCAGTTTTTCAGGAGCCTCCTTGTGCACCCAGCCCTATGCTGGGTGGGGCAGGAGGAGGAAAGGGTCCAGGAGGTCCGGCCCTTAGGGCCCCAAGAACTCCACTCAATGTCTCCTAATAGTCAATCATGGTCAAATGTGCTCAGTGCCTCAACAAACAGGATAGACCTGGGCAACCTGGGAAGGCTTTCAGGTGGTAAGGGAGGGGAGCTGCAACTGGGAGGATTTTAGGTGGAAGTGAATTGAAGGGGTGTGTGCTAGATCAGGCCAGGCTTAAGATTCCAAACTGTGGTACAGAGGGAGTTAAGGCTGAAGAAGGCTCAGCGTGGGGCACACAAAAGCTTTGAAGCCAGCCCAGAGGTTTCTAACAGGTCACAGGACAGATACAAGCAAAACTGAATTTCCGATTTGGGCATGCCCCTCCGAAAGGGCAGTGCACCTGAGAAGGGTGGGGCACTGCCAGCAGTTGGGCTGGTTTGGCAGCAGTAAAATCAGCCCCACCTCTGAAAAAGCTTTGGGCACTGGGGCGCCCCTGCCCATACACCAGGCTATGGGGGTGAAAGGTTCTGGCTGACCCAAGCAGGTGGTCCCAGAGCCCTCAGCACCCCCACTGCAGATGTCTCAGGATTGGGCAGCAGAATTGGGCACCAGACCCTTGGAGATGCTTATACTTCTCTGAGGATCAGGGAAGAGCTGGAAGGATGCTCTACTTTGGCTCCAGTGTAT